AACCCCCTTTTCTCCCTTCTCCTACTCTTCTTCCTCACTATCTTCTTCCTTCTTCTTCCTCCTTCTCATTTTTATCCCCTCAGGAAGTAACTCATAATCATTATTTTCTTCCTCATAGCTACCATTTACTGAATGCTTCTCAGGTGCTATTCTAAGCACTTTACATGTATTAGCACATTTAATTTTAACAATGTTATGAACAGAGTACTGCCACTGCTCCTGCCCCATATTTGATAAAATGGAGACCAAGAGAGGATTAGTAACTAAGCTAGGGGCACCTGGCCCTGAGTTAACAGCTTTCCCAGAATTTAACTTGGGACATATTGGTCATTCCAAATATGCTGATAGCTGAGGGCACAGTAGTAATAGGGAACTGGGCTTTGAGAGCAGATTTGCTAAAATTGCCTGGTTTTCAGTAGAGTGAGTTCCTAGTCTCAGTGTAAAAGCAACCTCTCGCACAAAGCATGCAAAAAATTCATTCCCACTATATCAAACGTTAAGAGGTCCACAGACTGGGTTATTCCAAGATTGGAAGGCCTGAGTTCTAGTTGTGGCTTTAGTTGCTCATAACTTGCTGTATGTCTTTGTGTCAGTTTCCTTCTCTGGGTTTCATTTATAAAATATGGGTAATAATATGTGCTCTACTAACAGTACAGGGTTATTAACACTAGCATCAGATGAGAATATTGAAACAGGTTCTTCAAGGCTAATGGATTTTACCCTTGAGAGTAACTTCCTTTACTCTACTCCTTCACCTTTTCTCTCTCCTCCATCTCCATTATCTTCTTCTTTAACTGTATTTTTAATTCCTTCTCTTCCCTTCTTCATTCTCCTTTAAGCAGGTCTCAGACTTACTTGCAGCACTGCACTTAGGCAAAAGGAACAAAGCCTTCAGAGGCAGATGTACCTAGGTCTGACCTCTGGCTCTGCCTTTTTCTTAGAGTTGTTGGGCAATTATTTTACCATTTTGAGCCACAGTTTGTTTGTTTTTTTTTTTAATTTTTTAGGGTTTATTTGTTTTTGAGAATGAAAGGGGGGGTGGGGCAGAGAAAGAGGGGGAACAGAATCCAAAGCAGGCTCCAGGCTCTGAGCTGTCAGCACAGAGCCCGACGAACTGTGAGGTCATGACCTGAGCCAAAGTCAGATATTTAACTGACTGAGCCACCCAGGCGCCCCTGAGCCACAGTTTTATCATCTATAAAATGGACACACATCACATCTGCCTTGCAAGGCTGTTGTTGCAAGATGTGGTAGATTGTCTGTAAATATGGCCAACAATTCCTCCTATCTCTGACATGCATGCAGTCCTTCCCATCAGGATATGGATTCCGTTTTCTTCACTCTTTAAATCTGGGCTTGCTTAGACCAGTAGAATACAGCAGCAGTGTTGCTGTATCATTTTTGGTCTTATGCCACAAAAGGCCTTGAAGCTCTGGTTTTTACCTTTTTGGAGGCTGCTGCCAATGTCTGACTACTCAACTTGGAATACAGGCCATAAAGGAGTTGGGAAGCCCAGGCAGCCCATAGCTCTTCCAGCCACCGCAGGTGAGGTGCCAGATAAACATAGTGCCAACATCTTGGATCCTCCAGTCCTAGCCAAGCTGTTCGAGGCAACACCACTTGGAATAGAAATAAGCTATTCCCTGAAAGTCTTGCTAAAATTGCAGATCATGAGCAATGGTTGTCTTAAGCCACTATGTTTTTTGTTTTTTGTTTTTTACAAATAGTTTATTGTCAAATTAGTTTCCACATAACACTCAGTGCTCATCCCCACAAGTGTCCTCCTCCATGCCCATCTCCCCCCTCCCCCCCACACCCATCAGTCCTCAGTTTTTGTCAGCATTCAAGAGTCTCTCATGGTTTGCCTCACTCCCTATACCCAACAATTTAAACCCTTCTACTCCCCCTTGTTCCTCCGTCAAGTTCCTCCTAATCCTCCTATACGTGCAAACATATGATATTTGTCCTTCTCTGCCTGACTTATTTCGCTCAGCATAACACCCTCAAGGTCCATCCATGTTGCTACACATGGCCAGATTTCATTCTTTCTCATTGCCACGTAGTATTCCATCGTATAGATAAACCACATCTTCTTGATCCATCCATCTGTTGATGGACACTTAGGCTCTTTCCTTATTTTAGCTATTGTGGAGAGTGTTGCTATGAAGATTGGGGTACATGTGCTCCTATGTCTCAGCATTTCTGTATCCCTTGGGTAAATTCCTAGCAGTGCTATTGCTGGATCCTAGGGGAGTTCTATTGTTAGTTTCCTGAGGAACCTCCACACTGTTTTCCAGAGGGGCTGTACCAGTTTACATTCCCACCAACAGTGTAGGAGGGTGCCCGTTTCTCCACATCCTCGCCAGCATCTAGAGTTCTCTGATTTGCTCATTTTAGCCACTCTGACTGGCGTGAGGTGGTATCTCAGTGTGGTTTTGATTTGTATTTCCCTGATGAGGAGGGATGCTGAGCATCGTTTCATGTGTCTGTTGGCCATCTGGATGTCCTCTTTGGAGAAGTGTCTGTTCATGTCTTCTGCCCATTTCTTCACTGGGTTGTTTGTTTTTCGGGCGTGTAGTTTGGTGAGTTCCTTATAGATTCTGGATATTAACCCTTTATCTGATATGTCATTTGCAACTATCTTTTCCCATTCCGTTGGTTGCCTATTAATATTCTGGGTTGTTTCCTTGGCTGTGCAGAAGCTTTTAATCTTGATGAGGTCCCAATCGTTTATTTTTGCTCTTGATTCCCTTGCTTTTGGGTATGTGTCAAGCAAGAAGTTGCTGCGGTGGAGGTCAAGGAGGTTGTTTCCTGCTTTCTCCTCTAGGGTGTTGATAGGTTCCTGTCTCACGTTCAGGTCCTTTTTCCATTTTGAGTTTATTTTTGTGCATGGTGTGAGAAAATGATCTAGTTTCATTCTTCTGTATGTTGCTGTCCAATTCTCCCAACACCATCTGTTAAAAAGGCTGTCTTTTTTCCACTGGATATTCTTTCCTGCTTTGTCAAAGATCAGTTTAAGCCACTATGTTTTGAGGCAGTCTGTTTCACAATAGATAAATAAACCAGAAAAACTAATGAGGTAGTAGCACTCCAACCAATGGCTAGCAGGTGTAGGTGTTCAACACATGATTGTGCCCTTCCCATTCAGAAGTGTACCTGGGAAATGACTGGCCTAGCTAGTGGTGCTACAATTTACTTTTATAATTGACAAATCAGAACTCCACTGTGTCAAGGATGCAGAGCAATAACCACTCTTCATATACTTCCAGGGACCTACTGAGGCCTATACAGGTTAAGGTATACTCAAAGTCACATAGTGAGTGTCCTCTTTGTGTGCACAGTGAGCCTGGGCCACCTCAAAAGCAGGCCTATAGATAAACAAATCTGGGGTAAGGAAGTAATATTAGGAAAGACACATAGTATTTCTTTTGACTAGTCATTTAATCTACCTGAAGGAAATTAACATGTATTGAGTGCTTACTATGAACCTAGCATTGCTTACAATAGTCCTGGAAGTGGGTACTATAATTTTCCCGATTTTCCAGATAAGTTCACTGAGGCACAGAGAAATTTTTGTCATCTATTGAGTTACTGGGAAGTACTAGGATAGTTTAATGTACAGGATGTTAATTAGGGAGCTCATGGGATCAACATTTGTAGAAGAGAAGCATTAGAGGAGGCAGGGCTGAACAGAGGGAGATATTGAGCTGAAACAGTCTTTTAAAAAAATATTTTTAAGTTTATTTATGTATTTTGAGAAAGAGAGCACAAACAGGGGAGGATCAGAGAGAAGGAGAGACATAATCCCAAGCAGGCTCTGCACCATCAGCACAGAGCCTGATGTGGGGTTGAACTCACAAACAGTGTGATTATGACCTGAGCCAAGACTGAGTCAGACGCTTAACTGACTGAGCCACCCAGGCACCCCTAACTGCAACACAGTGTTAATGGAAACCTTAGTCCACCCTATGGGGAGCTCTGAAACTAGATGGTCTTTCAGTGTTGTTCCCTATGGTATCTGTGTAGGGAATGAGGCCTTTGCATCCCTGTATCAGTCACTGGATTCATAGTTTCTAATTTCGAGTTTAGAGTTATTTCAACTACTTCTATCATCAAACCATCCCAAAAATAAGAAAGGCTAAAAGAAAAAAAGAATGATTATAGAGAAAAAGCAGAAAAAAATAGGCTCTAAAACCAAATCTGGGTTCAGATCTTAAAATTTCTCTTACCAGCTGTTTAACTTGAGACAAGTTATTTAACTTCTCTGAACTTGGGTTTATTTTTTGGAAAATGGTAATAAAAGTACTTAGCTTGGAATATTTGGGAGCACCTGGATGGTTCAGTCAGTTAAGCATTTGACTCTTGATTTCAGCTCAGGCCATTATATCAGGGTTGTGAGATAGAGCACTGTATCATGTTCTGTGAACTGGGTGTGGAGCTTCCTTGAGATTCTCTCTCTCCCTCTCCTTGTACCTCCCCCCCCCACTTCCTCTCTCTCTCTCACTTTCTCTCTCTCTCTCTCAAAAATAAAAAAATAAAATTAAAAAGATTGTTTTGAAAATCAAATACAATCATGTACATAAAGTATCTTGCATAGGGACCTGGCACAGAGTGGGTACTGAATAAATGGAAATTACAATAATAGGGTAAATTATTGTGCAGTGGTTTGTTTGGTTTCCTCATTTATAGGGCAGAGGGATTAAATGTGAAGAAAAGCTGGGACGCATGGGTGGCTCAGTCAGTTCAGCTCAGGTCATGATCTCACGGATAGTGGGTTCAAGCCCCACGACGGGTCTGTGCTGACAGCTAGCTCAGAGCCTGAAGCCTGCTTCGGATTCTGTGTCTCCCTCTCTCTCTGACACTTCCCTGCTAATGTGGTCTCTATCTCACTCTCAAAGAATAAATGAAACATTAAAAAAAAAGTGAAGAAGAGCTACCCAGAAGGGGAAAAGGCACTATATCTTTTATATTACTTGGTACTTATAGGCATTCAGTCAACATTCACTCCAATGAACAAATGTTTATTTAAAAGAATTTGTACAGATGTAACACTCTTACTTACAAAGATCAGAGGAACTTTTTTATATTATGAACACACTAACACCAGCAACTTAAAACTACAGTTAAGGAAAGAAGGGAAAATATTCCCCTTTCCCTAGCCAGGGACTGAGACTTGGGGTTAAAACTTTTTCACTCAGCCAACTCCGATCTCTGTCCTTTAAGTATAAGAGTAACTTAACTAGACATCTGATTTTGGTAGAGAAGAGAGCTACAGGGCCTGGGAAGCCTAGTGCCTTTTCTTTTCTAAGGGAAGGCCACCTGGAGAATCTATAGGATAGGGAATGGCCAGCAGATGACCTGAGCTGAGGCTTCCTTACAGAAGAGGGCAGACCTAAGTGAGGGAAGGACGAATGAAAGTCCCACCCTCCTACCTGTGTGAAATGGTTAGCACTCACTTGATTCTCAGATATATCAGTATGTAAGTACCATATTAATGGTTTTTAACAAAAATGGTTTTGAACATTTGGCAACACAGAAGTTGGCATGGGGTCCCTCACAACCTAAGCCAGCTCTTACATTAGAGCCCAAATGATTTATTTAGGCAGCAAGTTATAAAGGACCTGTGGAGTGGATGTGGCTCCCTAATTTAACAGTGGGGAACTTCTGTCACTGATTTGAAAAGCTAGGGTTATGGGAGAAAGACCCATGAGTCTCAGGATTTCTAGACACACAGCCTGGTATGTGAGAACTTTAGTATATCTGGGAGACTAGGGTGGGAGTGAACTCCATAATAACAGCCAAGCCTCCCAAATGAATAGGAAAAGGAGGCCTTGTCCAAGTTACTTCTGGACCTTGATTAGATGAAATGAGATGAGGGTGGCAGTGGGGGAGAAATATACACCAAGGGTATTGGAAAGTCCTGCAAGAATACTATTGTCCTTTCAGAGCCTAAGGAGGGGGGCACACTGGAGCAAGGGCCTCTTCAAACCCTCAGCCCTTAGGCCCCAAGTCTCAGACACAAGAGGCAAAGAATCACACCTGGGTCTTCTGTCCTTCCCTCAACTTCAAACAAGGGCAGGGATTTAAATGTGGGTGGGAAAGAAGGTATCATCAGACACACTGTCATTAGCGCCTGAACCATATCTCTTCTTAAATCAGAAATTCCAAGAGAAGAAAGAAATAAGAGCAAAGTGAGAGGGGTTGTGCTTCCATCACATTAAATAGGAAACTTGGTAGAGGTAGGGTAGGGTGGTTTCAAATCAGGACATTAATCATTCTGGCCAAGGGGAAGGGTTATGAGCAGTAGAGCTCTATGTATTCCCCATCTCTTCACTCATCCTGCTTCCGTTTTGGCTTTTTGGGGTTCCGGGACCGACTCTTGGCTTTGCACAGAGGACAAATAGGTGCATTCCGATGAATTTGCTGATGACATGACAAGCAGGCCTGGTGAAAGGACACAGACAAAGAAAGTTAGTGATCAGATTCTTCTAGCCTATGGTTCAGCCTTCTGATCCCCAGGAAGCAATTGTGATTTCCCAACAGAAAGGAGTAGTAATTAATGACTGAGACTCAAGTAGAATTGATCTCTCAAGTAGAGAGATCAGTGCCAGATGTAACAGATGTAAGGGCTATAAACGAATGAGGGTCAAAGAGGGGTACTGAGGAAAAATATCCAAAACTGGGATATAAGACAAAATGAAACTTATATATCCACTTAATATTATATTAAAACATGGTCCAACAGGCCCTATCAAGGATTATTCCATTCTCTAGGACAGATATTAGTAAACTTTCTCTACAAATGCCAAGAGAATAAATATTTTGTTTTATTATATTTTTTTAGAATAAATATTTTAGAGTCTTTAGGTCACATGGTCTTAGTTACAACTATTCAACTCTATTCTACATGAAAGAGACTACAGACAATACATAAAAAACAAGCATACATGTATGCCAATAAAACTTTATTTACAAAAACTGGGAGCAAATCAGACTCAGCCTGTGGGTTCTAGTTTGCTGATCCCTGCTTTAGGAGAATGTTCCTTTATTTGACTATTTACTATTGATCAGGGCCCAAACTCTGATTTATGCTAATAAGCAACAAATGGTTTTTGCCCAGTAGACATACAGATTATTTCTGTTTCAAAGGAAAGATAATTACAAAGGTTACAGTTTACTGCCCTGTAGGACATCAACCAGTTCTGCAATTTCCAAACTTATTTCAGCATTCCTTTCCTTCCCTTACTATATATATATATATATATATATATATATATATATATATATATATATATATATATATTTCTTTTTTGTTTTTTAATGTTTTATTTATTTCTAGGAGAGAGAGAGAGACAGCGTGAGCAGGGGAGGGTCAGAGAGAGAGGGAGTCACAGACTGAAACAGGCTCCAGGCTCTGAGCTGTCAGTCAGCACAGAGCCCGACGCGGAGCCCGAACTCACGAACCGCGAGATCACGACCTAAGCGAAAGTCAGACGCTTAACCGACTAAGCCACCCAGGCGTCCCTATATGTGTTTCTTAAATGCTTTTCGAACCAGCTTTGTATCCTGCTGACTTCCTCATTAACAACACTTGCTCACTATATATTTGTGCAAGTCTCATTTCTAACTTTTTAAAAAAATATGCTTTAGCAGAGCCTGTCAATCTCCCTGCATTGTAGCCCCTCTGGGAATGTGAGGAAATAAAACCAGCTGGTCTGCCACATGAGCAAATGCTCAACATCACTCATCATCAGGGAAATACAAGTCAAAACCACAATAAGATATTGCCTCACACCTGTCAGAATCTCTAAAATTAACAACTCAGAAGACAACAGATGTTGACAAGGATGCAGAGAAAGGGGAACCATTTATTTATCTTTTTTAATTTTTAGTAGTTTATTGTCAAGTTGGTTTTCATATAACACCCAGTGGTCATGTCCACAAGTGCCCTCCTCCATGCCCATGCCCTTCCCCTCTCCCCCACCCCAGTCAGCCCTCAGTTTGTTCTCAGCATTCAAGAATCTCTCACGGTTTGCCTCCCTCCCTCTCCACAACTATTTTTCCCCTTCTTCTCACCACGGTCCTCCGTTAAGTTCCTCCTAATCCTCCTATATGTGCAAACATATGGTAGCTGTCCTTGTCTGCCTGACTTATTTCACTCAGCATAACACCCTCAAGGTCCATCCATGTTGCTACACATGGCCAGATTTCATTCTTTCTCATTGCAATGTAGTATTCCATTGTATAGATAAACCACAGCTTCTTGATCCATTCGTCAGTTGATGGACACTTAGGCTCTTTACAGACACATAAAACGATGCTAAGGGGAACCATTTTTGCACTGTTTGTGTGAATGGAAAATGGTGCATCCACTCTGGAAAGCAGTATGGATCTTCCTCAAAAAAAAAGAAAAATAGAACTACCCTACTACCCAGCAATTGCACTACTAGGAATTTATCCAAAGGATACAAAAATGCAGATTCAAAGGAGCACATGCACCCCAATGTTTATAGCAGTACTATCAACAATAGCCACATTATGGAAAGAGCCCAAATGTCCATCGACTGACGAATGAATAAAGATGTGGTGTGTATATATATGATGGAATACTCCTTGGCAATGACAAAGAATGAAATCTTGTCATTTGGAGTAATGTGGATGGAAGGGTAGTATGCTAAGTAAAATAAGTCAGAAAAAGACAAATATCATATGATTGAACTCATAGGTGTTTTTTGAGAAACTCAACAGAGATGAATGTAGGGGAAATGAAGGAAAAACAAGATAAAAACAGAGGGAGGCAAACAATAAGATTTTCTTAAATACAGAGAACAAACTGAGCGTTGCTGGAGGGGAGGGGAGTGGTGGGATGGGTTAAATGGGTGATGGGAATTAAGGAGGTCACTTTTTATCATGAGCACTGGTAAGAGATGAATCACTGGGTTCTACTCCTGAAGCCACGACTACACTGTAAGTTAACTAACTTGAATAAGACAAAAAAGTTAAAAATAGAACTACCTCATGATCTAGCAACTGGACTACTAGGTATTTACCCCAAGGATACAAAAATAGTTATTGGAAGGAGAACATGCACCCCAATGTTTATAGCAGCACCATCAACAATAGGCAAATTATGGAAAGAGCCCAAATGTCCATTGACTGATGAATGGATAAAGAAGATATGGTATGTGTGTGTGTGTATGTGTGTGTGTGTATGAATATTACTCAGCCATCACAAAGAATGAAATCTTGCCATTTGCAACAACATGGATGGAAGGAGTATATTATGCTAAATGAAATAAGTCAGTCAGAGAAAGACCAATACCATATGATTTCACTCATATGTGGAATTTAAGAAACAAAATAGATGAACATAGGGGAAAGGAAGGAAATAAAATAAGATAAAAACACAGAGGGAGGGAGACAAACCATAAGAGGCTCTTAAATACAGAGAACAAACTGAGGGTTGCTGGAAGGGAGGTGGGTGGGGGATGGTGGATGAGTGATGGGCATTAATGAGGGCTCTTGTTATGATGAAGACTGGGAGTTATATGTAAGTGATGAATCACTAAATTCTACTCCTGAAACCACTACTACAGTATATGTTAACTAACTTACATTTAAATAAAATCTTAGAAGAAAAAAAACCCAGCTGGTCCACTACAGTATATGTACAACACCCCTTCTTCTGTGTCCTAAGCAAAGGCTGTTTTAGAAAGGCATCAAATAGGTAACTCCAAAGCCCCAGTCCCAGTTTTCTATGAAGCTACTTGAAGAAACCTTTCCTCGTCCACAACCCCTACCCAGCTCACTTACTTTCATAGGTGGGGGTTGTTGCCTGAAGGTGGCTGTCTGACGAGTGTCCTGCTTTCTAGCCACTTGGAGTTGTTGGGCAGCAGCGGCTGCAGCAGCCAGGGACTCAGGGATGGGGGGCTCCTGAGGCTCCGTCTGCCACTCTGCTTTCTGCTTCTCAAAGTAACTTTGGAGATGAAAGACATTAGCTGGATCATTCTGAAAGCATGGAGAACCTTGCCCCTCCTAAAGGCTCCATGCCACAGAACCAAAGGGGTTTGGCTGTGGCTCTGTATAGAAAGTTCCTGCACCCTCCCAGCACAAGGTTCCCCTTGGGTATCTGACCCATTGTCTTGGAAGGGTTATATTTCTGCTCTCTGGCTCTGACAGATCCAGAAAATCAAGAATCCCAGGGCTAGCAAAGTCCTTAAAGGGAATTTGCCTATTGTTTATCCCATGTACCTTTGCAATATTCCCATTAAGGCCTATACTGACATACTTCTCAGAATAAGAAGCTCATAACATCCATAGGGAGCTTGCTCTACCTTAAGGAAGTCGGCTTCCTTCTACTGAACTGAACTGTCTCTGAAAGGTGAGTGTAGTTCTTAATTCTGGGTCTTAAGATGAAGTTCCAGGCTAGCCCCTGGAGACCATGAAAGCCCAGCATTTTATGTTTTCAAAGGTTTACAGATACCCCTTCTAAACTTTGACTTGGGAACTGACCTTGTAAGAGTCACACACACACACACACACACACACACACACACACACAGTCAGACACAGTCTTGTGTTACCAAAATTGCACAAATAATTTTAAAATCCACCTAGAAATACTATTCTAATCATCGTTATTTTGGTGTACAGGGACTTGCCCAAGGTCATAAAATGAGTCAACCACTGACAGTCTTGGGGCTAGGACTGGGTACCATACTTTTTAAACCAGATTTTATGTGTGCATATGTGCCACTACATGTGTGTGTAAGTGTGTGTGTGTGTTGTGTGTCTATGTTGTGGGGACAGGGAGCAAGCAGCTTACTCTAAGGACAGCTTCTCCTCCTCTTCACATAGGTCAGGGAGCCTCTGCAGGCCTAGAGTCATGCGGAGAGCATCCACATGTTCCTTCAGTGGCTTATACTCATCATGTAGCCGCCGTGTAGACTCTAGCAGCTTGTTTAGGTCATTCTCAGACTGTTTGATGGTGTTTTCCATCTGAAACATGGAGTGAGGTAGGTACCAAGAAAAGACAGCAACATTCTCTACAAGGTTCTACAGCTAAATGGATAAAATAGCACAGACTCCAGAGCCAGGCCAATCTATTGTCATGTCCTTAATTCACCATGTAGTCTATGTGACTCTCTTCAAGCTTCAGTTTTTTCATCTGTATAATGGTGATAATAATAGTTCCTACTTCATATAATCTTAGGAAACTTCAGTGATTGAATGCATATAAAGCTCTCAGTACAGGGACTACCACAGAGTAAAGGCTCAATAAAAGGTAGTTATTATTCAAATATAGAACTTTAAAGCTAGAATGGACCTTGGAGCTCATTTAGTATGCCCCACCAACATTTTACAGATCAGATAATTGAGACTCAGAAAGAAGAAGAAACTTCCTCGGAGAAATACTTCTTAGGGGAAAAACCTAGACAAAAACTCAGGACTTCTGCTTCCCAAGCTAGTGGCTTTTCTCTTAGATCAGTGGTTTTCAAAATGTGGTCACTAGATCAGCAGCATTAGCACCATCTGGAAACTCATTAGAAATGCAAATTCTCAGACACCACCCTAGATATACAAAATCAGAAATTCTGGGGTGGAGTCCAATAGTCTATATTTTAAGAGCCTCTTCCAGGTGACTTTGATGTATGTTTAAGTTTGAGATCAACTGTCTTAGATTCTCAGCCCCAGCTAATATTTTGTTAACCACATTGGCTTTGTATCCTTGGTTAGCTGGCAGCAGAAATGCCAACTCCTCATGAGACCCTGGAACCCTGTGATCTTGTGACACAGAAAATACCAAGTTACTACTGTCTAAATCACATCTATATTTCCTTTAAGGTCCTAAGCTTGGAAATTTCAGGAAATAAGTATTGTCATAAAAATGAGTCTCCCAAGAATAGAAACGTAACTCCTTCAATGTAATTTTTAAAAAATATTTTCCATTGTCGTAGGCTCTAAGGATTGGAAAGGACATTATAAGTCAGCACCTCCAATTTTCCTCCTGGTGCAGGAATCAATACTGCAGCTCAAACAGGTGATCATTCAGACTATACTTGAATAACTCCAGAAAGTGAGGAGCTTATCACCTTAGTAGGCATTTTTTTCCCCATGTTCCAAGTATCTCCAAAAGAGAGACTCTAATGAGGGAGCCTCATTTTAGTAGACTGGCAGAGATTATTTGTTTAGCCTACTCGGAAACTTTGGAGCCCTTTGAGCTAGACCCTAGGGGCAGCTGTCTGCTCTGCTTTACCTCAAGGCTAACTCTCAACTCCCAAAATGAGAGTACATCAGTGCTGAAAGAGACCTTAGAGGTGACTGAATCCCTGTCATAGTAAAGAGAAGGAAAATAAGGCCTAGAAGAAAAAGGGACTTGACCACTGATATACAGTCAATCAGTGACAGAGCCAAGACTAGATCTCAGAACTCCTGGATTCTTCCATTCAACTACAACCTGATGCCTATTCCCCCAAGTTGGTTGGCCACAGCCACACCACAAGGAGAGGCCACGGTACTCACTACGTGTCTACTTCTCAGAAGGCCCAGAGGTAGTCTTCTGGAAGTCGGCTACATACCACATTGATATCAGCATGGATCAGTCGGAGTTCCTCCACATGGGCCATCTTCTCCTGTAGCAACAAGTCCATCTCCTGCTTGTATTCCTTCAGGTGCCTCTCCTCTGATTCAAGGGCCTCAAACTCAGCCTTCAAACGTGACTTAATCTTCTCCATCTGAAGAGTCTTGTTCCTGCAATTACCAAAAAGCAAGAAACAGACCAATAGGAGAAGGGAGGAAAATGGGAATGGAGTGCAGTTAGGCCCTGAGCCAGGGCTATTCTTCTAAGCCACCTTTCTAAGCTTTTCTTTCTCCAGGCAGAGCCAACCTGAAGCCATCTCCAAAAGTTAGGAGATTCTTTATTCTAAGATAGAAGCTCAGTGGGTCTCAAAAGGGGATAATTTCATTCTTTTGTGGGACATTTGCAAATGTGGAAGATTTTTTGCTATTAGACTTATTCAAGAGAGAACATTACTGGCATGTAGTGAATATGGGACAGAGATGCTCTACAGCCTCTCAATGCAGAGGAAAGTCCCACACCACAAATAACTCTCACTCAAAATGCCAACCATGACCTTTTAAGAAATTCTTAAAGAAGAATTTTGTACAATGATGGAAATGTTCTGTCTCTATGCTTTCCAATACAGTAGCCACTAGGCATGTGTAGCTACTGGGTACTTGAAATGTTGCTAGTGCAACTGAGGAAATGAATTTTGAATTTTATTTAATTTTAATTAATTTAACTTAAACCACACATGTGGCTAATTGGACAGCAAAGCTCTACAGGGTCCACTACTCAGTTCTAGAAGAGGAAGGGGACTAGAAGAACTATAGCTCATTTATCTTCCTCAAAAATAAAACATGTTTCTGGTTGTTAAATTCCAAATGTATACTCTGTGGTTCAGTAATCCCACACCTGTGAATTTATTCTAAGGAAATAATTAAAGAAAATAAAAAGTTAATACACAGGAATGTTAATTATGGACTATGGACAAAATTGCATTATTTGGAAGCCATTAGAAGGGATCATTATAAAGACTTGTGACATGGAAAGTATTGAAGATAAGCTCAATGAAATGTATATATACTCAGAATGTATTTTTCAAAATGTACATGAACAAAATGTATTGGCATGGTTTCAAAGGTATTTAAGACAACTTGAAGCCTGCCTACGTGAAAGGGCCACAAAACTTTGGAAGGAGGCCCCTCTGCAGCACACTGTTGTCCTCTCACTAGCTCTCTACTCTCTGGTTTTGAGGTACTTCCTAGCTGTTATCCATCACTCAAATTTGGCATCTCCTTTCTGTGGATAATAATCTTAGGATTCCACGTGCTTACACTAATGGATTAACAAGACATAAAGAATTACAAAGCCATAGGATGCTCTCACCCAAGCTTGGGTAAACAAGATTAGGACTCCAGGATATAGCAAAGAGGGGCAAAGCCCCCCAGGATAGAGGGGAACAAGGCCCCCAGAATAGAGAGGGGGGACAAAGGCCCCAGTACATAGGTATATGAGATAAACAAGATTAGGCATTCAGGGCAAAAGCGCCCCCCAATTTAGTACTATAGCAGAAAGCTATATAGCTTTCACAGGAAGAAAGGTCCAAATTAAGTAAACAGGTAAACAGGGCTATAAACCACTGCACTGTGCTGCAGGTGAAGCTGCCCAGAGCAGAGATGATTAACAAAAGAAACCCTGAGGTCACGTATCTTATCTGTCTCATCCCCTAGGCTAGCTAAGATAAACAGGTGGTGCCTCATGTCTGCTGTAATCAACCTTTCAGTGGACTGCCAGGTGCCAGGATTTTGTTTTGTATTAACCCAAACCCCTAAACCCAAATATCTTCAAGGCCCCCTTTTCCTCACTTCTATGAGTTAATGTTCACAGATTTATTTTCTCTTTGTGCATGTCCATTACATGTTTGTAAGCCTTCTGATCCTAATAAAAATGGTGTAAGGACCCTTATTCAGGGCTCTTGTCTTTTCCTGGACATTAGCCATCTCTTGATTTTAATCCTGTGTCTGTTCTCTTACTGGCCAAGAGAGAACTTTAGACTTAGAGTCTACAACACCTTTCTTCTGCCTTAGTAGCTGGCTTTTTCCTCTGCTCCAGCCCGTCCCATGGGTGCTCTTGCTCTACACACTAGACTATGGCCTCTGGCTTTAGTCTGCTTCTGTCTTTAGTCTCTCTGTCCCGTGACTCCTGGCCTAAGAGGTGACCCTCAATGGCACAGAACCACAAAAAGAGTTGTGTTAGGTAGGCAGGATGATGGGAGAAAATTTTATTTCTTTATTCAAAATTTATTTCCATGTTATATTGTTTTGCCTTATAAAAGGGTAAAAAAGATGGCTGTTATTATCCCATTTATAAAAAAGGAACTTGAGGGGATGTAGGTAAGATGGTGGAGGAATAGGGTGACTCTAAGCTTGCCTCGTCCACTGAACACAGCAAAATATCAAATCATTCAGAACACCCAATAAATTGATCAGAAGTCTTAGAGAACAAAGCTACACATCTAAACATTAGAAAAACAACCTGTGGAAGGTAGGAATGACATGAAAGAGTTTGTGGGAAAAAAGAGCTGTGGGCATTCCCCAGGGGGAGGGAGTACTGACAGTGGTGGGAGTAGCCAGAGAGAAGGAGGAAAGAGAGAGAAGCATGGGGGAAAAAAGAGTGAAAACATGCACAGGTGACTGCACAAGAAAACAACTCCCCAAAACCTTTGATGGGGAACAAGGAGAGGGTTACAATATCACCAGTTTTCTATAAAGAACAGAGTGAAGAATCTGAAGTTTCAGAGGTCTGCAACATTGCCAGGTTTGTGCCTGGGAAGCTGAGTAGTGCTCTTGTGGGAGAGCAGAGCTGATCTCCAGAAGTGGGCAGCCTTCTCCAGGGTCACATGTGGAGAAGTGGTTCGCCTGCTTGGAGTGCATTTGGTAGAGGTGATACAGCCTCTCTACAAGCAAAGAACCCCGCAGGTACCATCAAGCTGTCCTGCTCACCAGCATAGGAACACCAGCTGGTGAAGGTCTGTAAACACTGGTGTCCTTGTGTGTTGTGATTCACCATACACTCCCAACTGCTGTGAAGATACGTGGCTGTCTTCTAAGACTCCAGCCACAGCTTGAACTGCATTTAGGAGAGGTGAAACATCCTCTCCATGGACAAAGAATCCCATGGGCACCATTGAGCTATCTCATTCAACAGTATAGGAGCAGAGAGTCTGCTGAGAGCTTCCATTACTGGTGCTGGCTGTGTTGCAACCATAAACTCTGATCCACCATGTGGTCTCCCAGCTATCTTCTGTGACAAGTTGGCACTGGCCAAAATGCAGGGAGACTTTCCCCCAAAGGATCACTCTGGGTCAGTGCTGCAGGAGTCTCTGAAATATGGGGTTTTGAAACATAGCTGTGCCTGATATAATATACAGGAGGTCTGTGACATTTGGAAGATGTACAGCTCAGAACCAGACAGGGTGAAGGCAGGTATCTGATGGAAATGAGGGACACAGGCAGAATCACTGTCAAAGTGGCTCTGAGGGCTAACTGAAGAGTGGTGGTATGCTCCTGAGGTGAGAGAACAGGCAAAGCCATTTTCCCCCTGCACTCAGCAGCTTGATCCACCTCATTGAGCAAAACTGCTATCAAGTGGAGAACAGAACTGCTGCACCAAACAAACTCTCACTGTGATCCACAGGCACATCTCCACTACAGCAATTACACCTAAGAATCAGAGCAACAGGCCCCAAACCCAGAAGGCCAGCACAAAACCCTTACTCTCAAAAAGTATACTGATCATAGAGTGGTGCAAAGCTTCAGCTTTAGGGGGAAGGAAATAGCATTGTTCAGAGTTTTTTAAATTGTATTTCTTGTTGTTTTTGTTTTTCTATATGTTTTTGTTTATTTCTTCCTTTTTATTGATACATAAGTAACAATTTTTAAATTTTATTATTAAATTAATTACTTTAGTATATATATTTATTCTTAATATTTTTTCTTTTTTCTGTTTCTTTTCTTTCTTTCTACCTTTTTTCTATCAAGCTTCTTTTAACAATCAGACCAAAACAAACCTAAGATCTAGCTTCTGTTATGTACTTTATTAAAAAATTTTTGTTTTCTTCCATTAAAATTTATTTTATTTTATTTTGCTTTCAGTCCCTTTATCACAAAAAATGTTGTAGGAATTAACACCAAAGAAAGAATGGCCACAGATTTACTCAAAGGAGATATAAGAAAGATGTCTGAACTAGACTTAAAACAACAATTATAAAGATATCAGCAGGGCTTGAAAAAAATTAATAGATGACACTAGAGAATCTCTTACTGCAGAGATAAAGAACTAAAATATAGGCAGGTCAACATTAAAAATGCTATAACTGAGATTCAATTCCCAATTGAGGCCATATAAACAAGGACAGATAGAGCAGAGGAGCGAATCTGTGATATAGAAGAAAAAATGGAAAGTAATGAAGCTGAAAAGAAGAGGGAAATAAAGGTCATAGAACAGGAAGGCAGACTTGGGGAACTCAGCAACTTATTAAAATGTAACAACATTCGTATTATAGAAGTCCCAGAAAGTGAAGAGAGAAAAAGAGGGCAGATGGTTTATTTGAACAAATTAGCTGAAAAATTCCCTAATCTGGAGAAGGATACAGGCATTAAAATCCAAGAAACACAGGGAGCTCCCATTAAATTAAACAAAAGCTGATCATCGCCAAGGCATATCATAATCAAATTCACAAAATAAACATGCAAAGAAAGAATTCTGAAAGCAGTAAGGTGAAATAAATTCCTTAATCTACAAGGGAAGACAGATCAGGTTTGCAGCAGATCTGTCCACAGAAACACTGCAGGCCAGAAAAGAGTGGCAGGAAATATTCAACATGCTGAATGAGAAAAATATGCATCCAAGAAGTCTTTATCCAGCAAGACTGTCATTCAGAATAGAAGGAGAGATAAAGACTTCCCCAGACAAACAGAAACTAAAGGGGTTCATGACCACTAAAGCATCCCTCCAAGAAATTTTAAGGGGGACTCTATTAGTGGAGAAAAACCAAGCAAGAAAACAACAGATCAAATGCAACAAAGACCAGAAAGGACCAGAAAACATCACCAGAAACACCAACACTACTGGCAACACAATGGCGCTAAATCAATATCTTTCAATACTCACTCCGAATGTAAATGGA